TGTAGATTACGATGAAACTCTTAGAAATAAATTACCACTAGACACAAAAAAAATGGAAGGGAAGGCAGGTAATTTTAAAAACGAGATTTTTTTCCGCAAACTTCAAAAGAAATTTTTCTTCGCAAAAATCCTCCATTTGGGTCCAATATTATTTTCCATACGTTTCATATGGGTCTAATGCTCTGAAATTGAGATATAACGTTTTTAAAAATCCTAGATCTGCCACTGCACGACTTCGGTATCATATGAATATTCCATACAAAGAGACATTCTTTTTTCCAAAGGGAAATGGTACAAACGTGAAAATATATGCATTCAATATGATATGGATATTTTCATTTAGAGAGAAATCCTTTTTTCAAGTCTTATTTCTCATTATGAATGGAAATATGGATCAACTATTTCACATTATTATTTATTCATATCTGCTGAAATATCTTCTTAGAGTGTAAAAATACAATGACATATATCCCTTTACGGCCGACTGTCTCTTCCAAAGGACATTACGAGATTTAGTTTAACATGAATTATTTTCTTTAAAAGTTAGTTAATAATTTTTTGATTTTTTGTGAGTAGTCTATATGGCTGTCTCAGCCTGAAAAAATATTTGGATTGAGTTATAACATTTTAGAACAATCATTATATCAAATATTAGTTTGTGCTTTGAAAAGACAGTCGATCGTAAAGGGTTAACAGAACATGTTTTTTGATGCAAAAATAGAGCACTTAAAATCTCGCACAAAGTTCCTTTGTTTGAATAGAATACTGATAAATGGAAAATGTAAACTTTGTACTTTCTATTTATATAACAGTGTGTTCTATTATATCCATAAATATTACTATTTATATAACCTCAATCTATATCTTCAATTCAATGATTTCTTAAATTGCATTCTGATGAGTATAAACTAAATGAATTTAACGAGGAAAAATGCAGAGATACCAATTGCTTCAATAAGTACATGTCATATGTAAAAACTTGTGCTTAAGTCAATTGATTTGTATCGTCTTATTTTTAAAGCAATGAATAAACTGTTAGAATCTGCAAAGAACGTCATTTCAATACATTTATAATAAAAAATTCTCATTTATTAAACTCGTTTAAACATGACTTTGTAAAGAATTTTAATAAAAGTAAATTTTATAATGAGAAATATAATGTCAAAAAAATTCAAAGGCGTTTATTTTCTATCTCATCAATGATAATAATGCATTTTTACCAGGAGTATAAAATTCTCCAAATAAAAATTTTTATATAATAAATTTATTATTAAAATTATATGACATTTAGCGGAAAAAAATGTATTTTTGTACTACATTTTCTCTTCAGTATTAAAAAAAAATATCTTCAAATGAAGTTAATAAAGTGTTATTAACAAACTTCATTTGCCATTCAAAATACGAACAAAAGATAGTTTGTTGAACTAAATTTTACTCTACTTGAAAATTATGGGAATAAACGAAACTAATAATTCATCCAATACAGAAATTTCTCTATCGAAGTCAATACAATTTTGGTTGCTTAGTATCTTGGATATTCCTTCAATATTTTGTTCATTATTTCTTCTCTATCATTTACTTACTAAACAAATTCGACGATCAACATTAAATAATCATGTAATTATTAAAATACTTTTAATTAGTCTATTTATTCAACTTATCGATATTCCATTATATCTTAATTTTCTTCGTTCAAATCCTGTTTGGCCACAAACATTAGTAACATGTATTGTCTGGTGGTATGCTACTCATGCTATGTACAATACAACAATTATTCTTACGGCTTGGTTATATTTTGAAAGATATATTCGTATATTTCATAATGAATATATTTCAACTAAAATAAAACAATGGTTATTTCATTATATTTCAATTATATTTTTTCTTATTTTTCCAATGATCTATTATATATTAGTTCTGTTTATACCTTCTTGTGAACAACAATTTATTTATGATTATACACAAGCGTGGTGTGCTCTATGTCCATGTTATTACAATAATAATTTATCAACAATAGTTGATATAGCAATAAATTCAATTTTACCATGTTTATTAATTGCACTATTTAGTATAGTTTTATTAATACATACAATTTGGATAAAAAATATTCGTTTAAAACGAGTAGTACAATGGAAACAATATCGTAAAATGATCATACAATTATTTTCAATATCATCATTATTTATAATATTTAATTCACCATTAATGCTTTATTATCTTCTATACATTCTTCAATATATACCATTAGATATTGATCCGCAAATTGAAGATTATCTAAATTTTCTATCGTATTTTTCGACATTATTTTTACCATTTAGCATTTTATTTTCATTATCACATGGTTGTTTTCGAAATGGATGCAAAAAATTTCGTAAGAATTTTCGAAAACATCGAGCTAATATTCATCCTAAAAAAAATCCTCGTTTACAACACTAATGAACATAAAAATTATTTTGTACATAAAATTTCGTTTTACTTTATTTCATTTATTTATTATGTCAAATACTTTCACCAAATCGTTCTCGATTTTTAATAAAAAAAGCAGCTAAAAATTCAATAGGTTTTTTTGGTCTTTCTTTTGCTACAATTGCTAAACCTTCAATAATAATTGGTATTACAGTTTTATTAAAATAAGCTGTTGTTGGAAAAGCTTGAATATCGGCATGTGAAGGAGGATTTGGTGAATTAAGTTCATGTTCGATTATTTGTAATATATGAGATGGTAATCGTGGTGGACCATTTTCAGTTGTATTTACAGATGAACAAGATGGATCATGTAAATCACCTGCATGGTTGTTATCATCATGCATTGATACTTGATGTAAGTCCGTCATTGGCTAGTTAAAATAAAAGAATGAATAAAGAAATGAAATTAAAAACACAACTATACTCATATAGCTTGCCGTTGACATGGAAACACCTCTACGTCTTTTTTTTCTTCTTCAGATTTATTAAAGACATAATATGTTGATATATACGAATTTAGTTTGAAAGATTTTTACGAATAAGTTTCTCAATGGTGGATATGAAGGAGTAGATTATAGAGACATTCTATACTTGATTCAAAATATAAACAAAAGACAGAAAAATCATAAAGATCGAATGTAATCGGATAAATTCTTCGCAATGGTGACCTCAAATCTTTAACCTATCGACTCAGTTGCTCTGATTATAAACTAATATATTAATAATAAAAAACTGACAAACTCAGAAACTATCGTCAGTAGATTTATTATTAAAATTTGAATATTCGTTTATTTAGAGGCAAAAAACACCAGATCTGTAGATATTCTGGTTGAATCCGCAAAGGAAAAACGTTATGTCCAATAGTAGCCAGCAAATGTAATGAAAGTAACACAAGAATCTGATAATCTCACTTAATATGAATACAATTATTTTCCTATTGTGCATCTAAATTATCAATTTGTATTATAATCTTTAGTAAAAATTGAAAGTAACTTCATTGGCATTTAATAATTTCTATTATTTTTATATAACAAATAAATTACATGATAAAACAATTTCTTTTTATGATATTTTTTCTTATCTGTTTATAGTAATGATTAAATCTCTACTCTTCTATATGAATGTTTATGTTTTCGATTTGTAAATGTTTTGTATAAAATGTAAAAAATAAGTAAAGTTCACTATTATCATTGTGACATATTATTGTATAATCTATTCATTGCTTGTCGCTCGATAGAAAACAAAGGTGTTTTGCTTCTTTATCTCTTTGTACTAAACCTATATATTTAAATCAGTATTATTGTTTTTGCTCTTTCTTCATCTGTATTACAATACTCATCAACAACAAAGAATAGCAAGGTATTTTTTGTTAAATTAATTTTCCTTTTTTAAAATAAAATGGTATTACGTACATTGAGTATTGTTGATTATGTTATTCTTATATCATTACTTCTATCATCAGCCGTCATTGGTGCTCTATTTGGATTTGTTAAATCAAAGAAAAGTTCAGCAAAAGAATTTCTTTTAGGTATAGAAATTGAAAGATTTATTTTTTTTGATTTAAAATACATACGATTTTGTATTTTCTGTATTCTAGCTGATGGTGGGATGGGAGTAAGTATTTAATTTTTCATGTTTTTTTTCTCATTTGGTTTATAAATTTATACTCAGGTAATTCCAACAGCATTGAGTATTATGGTATCATTTCTTTCAGCTATTACATTATTAGGAACACCGAGTGAAGTCTACGTATATGGAACTATGTATTGTTATCAAGGTATATTATTGATTTATTATCTCCATTCACTTAAATATCAAAATTTGCGAACAACTGTCCTAAATCTATATCAATACGAATTTTCTTATTTATTTGATTTAGGTATTTCATGGACAATTGCTTCAACTGTAACAGCATTGGTTTTTATGCCTAAATTTCGTGAAATAAATTGTACAAGTGCTTATGAAGTATATTCTATATTTCTTTCATTTAATATCACAAAAATAGATATTCTAGTATTTAGAAAAACGTTTTGATCGAAAAGTACGCATGTGTGCTTCATTTGCATTTTCATTCTTTATGGTAAATAATTTAAATTAAATCGATAATTTTTTATTTCTCGATATATAGTTAATCTATATGGCAATTGTTTTATATGCTCCTGCATTAGCATTAAGTCAAAGTAAACCTATTTATTCAATATTTAATATGAAGTAGAACAAAAAAATTCTTTTAGCTACTGGTCTAAATATTTGGTTATCTGTTGTTTCAATTGGTGTTATTTGTACATTTTATTCATCAGTAGTATGTTACAAAGAAAACTGAAAAAAAAGAAAGTAAAATTGATTTTGTTCATAGGGTGGTATGAAAGCTGTTATTTGGACAGATGTTTTACAAGCATTAGTTATACTTGTTGGTCTTCTTGCTACTATTATTCAAGGTTTAAGAATAATTAGCCAAATATCATGTGTTACTTATTCGTCTCTATCTATAATTATCCATATTTAGGTTTTATATCAAATGGTGGTGTAAAACAAACATTCTCAAAAGCATCAAGAGGCGGAAGAATTGAATTCGACAGGTATTGATTTCGAAATATTACCGATCTGCTAATTATTTAACGAGAAAACTAAACCACAGTACTGAATAATTAATCAAAATAGATTAAAGATCGATGATCCCCTAAAGAACTGTGAAGTCACATTTATATTTTCTTATGTTTAGTGTAAGTTTTGATCCACGTGTTCGTCATACAATATGGTCTTTACTCATCGGTGGTACATTTAATTCATTATCTACTTATGGTTTTAATCAAACACAAGTTCAACGTTATATGTGTGTTCGTTCAACACGTGGTGCTAAACAAGCATTATTTATCAATGCAGCTGGTGCTGCAATTGTTATAGTTTTTTCATGTATTATTGGAGTTATTCTTTATGCATATTATGCTGATTGTGATCCATATACAGCAAGATATGTTACGGATATTGATCAAATATTTCCATATTTTGTTATGGATGTATTAAGTGATAAAAAAGGTTTACCAGGAATATTTCTTGCTTGTATTTTTTCTGGTTCATTATCGACAATATCATCAGGATTAAATAGTCTGGCAGCTGTTGTTATTGAAGATGTTTATAAAGGTTTATTAGGAAAAACTTTAAGTGATGAACGTCAAGGTTTAGCATCAAAAATCTTTTCAATTGTATTAGGAGCTGTAGTTATGTTATTAACATATCTTGTTAGTTATCTTGGATCAATATTGAATGCTGCATTATCATTATTTGGAGTTTTATCAGGTCCAATAATGGGTGCTTTTTTTCTTGGATTTTTTGTTCCTCAAGCAAACAAACATGGTGGTTTTTATGGTTTTTTAGCAAGTCTTTTTCTACAAATTTGGCTGTTTTTGGGTGCACAAATAACAAGAAAACAAATGAAAAGTGAACGTTTACCATTATCAGTTGCTAATTGTCCTATTCCAATTAATATTACAAATATAATAACAGCTCCAGTAAAGTTAGTTTGAAAAAAACAAAAAAAATATTAAATTGAAAGTTTTCATTTTCTTCTAGGCGTAACCCATTGATTGATTTTTATTCAGTTAGTTATATGTGGTATACACCAATAGCTGTAGGTACTGTTTTAGTTGTTGGAATTATTGTATCATATTTAACTCATCCACTTAAACCAAATGAAGTCGATCCGAAATTATTAATACCTATTAGTGATGTATTTTGCTGTTGTTTACCTAAACGTATACGTGATTGGCTTCGATGTGGTGTAGACGAAGTTGTTGATTCAGATAAAAAAGTTTGTTAATAGAAATTAAATTATTATTATCATTACTATTATTTGTTTATTAAAGGTTGATAATGAGATTGAACTAGCAGCACCAGAAGGTTACGGTACACTCCATACTACTGCAAGTGCACAAACTCTTGCCACAAACGCAACACCTATAGATTCGTCGGATGTTGTAATAACAAGAACAATAGATGGTGCTTATGATAATCCAGTAATAACAATAAAAGACTAAGAATCTGATTTTGTATACAATCTAATGTAATAGAGACTACAGAAATAGATAACATTCCGGAATAATATTATATTATATTAGTTATTCGATAATAAAAAACGATTATGTTCAGAAATAAATATTTATCGATAATTCAAATACTAAGAACACTAATAATCAAACTGATTTTTCTTCGAATCCGAAGATATTTGTAAGAACTTACAAATGTCTGTCATACGTAATGATGAGTTGTTACAGTGGTTAAAATATTTGATGTATTCATATTCAAGCAATAAGTTTCAATTTAGTAGTACAATGTATTGTTAATTAGATTTGTTTCAAATACATTGAACAAAAAAACACATCTTTTTATTAAATATATGAAACAATAGTTTTTATTAGAATGAATGATTTACATGAGCAGAGGTTTTTAGAGAATGAAAATTATTCGTAATATAATTTTTTTAGACCATCAAACTATTCTTCACCGTGCTTTTCTTACATTTAAATTGTCTATTCAATGAAACTATAGTGATAGACGGTAAGAAAGAATAAATAATATGCAGTTTCGCTTTTCTTTTCAAATTTGTTTCTTTACACACCCTCTCTCTTCACTCTGATAAGTAACTATACATACAAAGATGAAAATAGAATGGCAAAAATAATAAAACTGCATTAACGTTTGTTTGTTTCATTGTCAATGTACTTTTTTTTACCAATCTTTCTTTCATCTACTATTTGCATTTTATATGACTAACTATAGATTATCGATACAGCTTCTTGTCGAGGAACGATTTGAAATCAAAAGAAGCCACATGACTATTCATAATGATGACATTTTATTCTTAGATTTAAACGAAAAGAAATTATTTGTTTTATATAGAATACTTGTATACTGCACATAATTCTCTCAAAATACTATTAACAGCGTTTTTTCTTCATAGATTTTCATGCAATATGACTTGTAATGAACATCAGTGTCGTGATGCATACATGTATACTGTTGTAAGATTATTGTTGTATTTATTCAATTTGTTTTTTACCAACTAAAATCTGTTTTTAATATAGTTTTCCTGAAATTTTAAATGATTTCTACCTTATATATACAATATTTATTACAATAGAGTCATCCATGTTGTATTGAAATAATTGTTCTGATATACAAAAGAAAGAAACAGCACATAACGTGATAAAGAAATCATTTCACAAATTATTTATTTTAATACAAAAACAAACTTTCATCTAAATAACTCACAGAGAAGCATTGTCTAACTTCAAATAATATATTATTTGCTAAATCACTCAATAAGCCTCTTTTCTCATGTAAAGTATGTAGTTCTTGAGCACCTCTCTTTTTAGAACGTTGGTTTTTTTAATTACTATCAACAATTGAAATATCCATTTACATCTTTCTGAATACAAAATAATTCCTTTTTTGTTCAACAATAGTATTTTATACTCAAATTATAAAAAATTTCTTAATATTTGTATTTTTTAAAAACTAGTTTTAATAAAATTCTTCAATGATGTTGTACGAAACACTTTGCTTGTTTTAACAGAGAACAAAAAATTTTCTTCGATCTTACTTTCATCAGTATTAATCGTACGGTTTCTTTTCATTCTTTGGCATAATATTTAAAGCATGCTGTATGTACAAAATTTCACAGAGCTTTTGTCGTCAAACACTAATATGATGATTGACAAAGAATGTAAAAGAAAACCTAATTCGGTGGAAGAATTGTATTTCTCTTTCTACCTTTATTCGATAAAAAAATTGTCGCCTACACATTAGCAAAGCTGCAGTAATGGTGTAGACAGAAGTAAAAATAAGTTGGAAAGAATAACAAGAGAATGAATTCGATTGATAGTTTGTGTTTTGCTCGTTCTTTCAATAATATCTGTTTTTTGCTCTGTACAATTTTTTTCAAACGTAACTAGATGGAGTTTGTTTTTGAGAGACAACAAAAACACGCAAACATTCGAAGTCGCCGAAAGATCGAGAAAAAACAAGTCAGTGCCTATATAAAGAAGAACGGTGATCCTTTGTTTCATTCAAACAATAACGTCCATTAACAAGTTCACATTCAACAACAAATTACAGCAAGATCAGAATGAGTGGATCAAAATCAAATCAAAATGCTGCTGCATCATCAAATATTCGCCAACCACGACAGCGTATGACACAAAATTACCTTCTCATTTGGGTAGATGCCAACATCGACCAAGCAGACAAGGACTGCAAAAATACACTGGCTCAATTGAAGAGCGTGGTCAACGATGTCAACCTATGCACAGAACCGGATCAGTGTATCCAAACACTCAACAATGTTGACAATGAACAAGCCTTTGTGATTACATCAGGCTCATTAGGTCAACATTTGGTTCCTGAAATTCATGGCATCCCACAGTTAGATGCTATTTACATCTTTTGTAGCAACAAATCCAGACATGAAGGATGGACTCAAAATTGGAAAAAAATTAAAGGTATTCATACAAATATCAAAGATATTTGTAAAGCATTACAACTGGCAGTTAAACAATGCGACCAAGACACAATTGCCGTAAGTTTTCTTACGATAAATGAAATGGCTTCAACTGATAATTTAAATCAGTTGGAACCAACTTTCATGTATACTCAGCTATTCAAGGAGATTCTCCTTGATATCAAATATGATCGCAAGGCAATCAAGGAGTTAGCAGCTTGTTGCCGTGAAGCTTTTGCTGGTAATTCAGTTGAATTACAAATTATTGATAAATTCGAACACGACTATGAT